CCTTTAGAACATCCAAATAAAGAAGTTCAGGGGCGCCTGGGTGGCGCAGTCGGTTAAGCCTCCGACTTCAGCCAGGTCACGATCTCGCGGTCCGTGAGTTCGAGCCCCGCGTCAGGCTCTGGGCTGATGGCTCAGAGCCTGGAGCCTGTTTCGGATTCTGTGTCTCCCTCTCTCTCTGTCCCTCCCCCATTCATGCTCTGTTTCTCTCTGTCCCAAAAATAAATAAACGTTGAAAAAAAAAAAAAGTTCAGCTGGAAGCTATATATGCCCTTCCTTTTGTGATTCTTATACTGGCTCCATTGCGTGCTCTCTTTAATTACAAGTAGGCTCCCAACTCTCTGTGTAACACTTCTGAATTGAGACAAGCATATCCCCCACTTGCAGAAAGGGATCCAGATGGGGGAAGAAAGTAAACTGCACACACCCAAAATTATTTCAGTTTTTTTACTAAAAGAATAGACTTTTATTAAGCACTGTAAGTTTCTTTCCATCAGCATTAACAGAACAACAGACCAATTTCCATCACAGAAGAACTCCTGAGACATTTTCATTCCTTTCTGAAACACTTCCAGAAACTCCTGCAGGTTCCCCTAAGAAGCATCCATTCAAACTTACATTAATAAACTATGGAGCTTTTGTGGTGAGGTGGGCCAAAATGGCAGGGAATTTGGAATCTGGGAATGGGAAAGAGAAATACATATTATCCATCCACTAAATACACTGTCAAGAGCACAGGAGAAGAGATATTAACACAGGAAAAAACAATGGAAGAATTTACTTTTGTCAATAACATCATTTATCAGGGAGCACTAAAAATCATTGACTCCTTGCAGTTAAAGTTTCTTTAACCTAGTATGTTATTCTAAAAATAGAAGAGAATAGAATAAAATAAAAGGAGGGGAGGTGTCTTCTGGGAAGTAACTAAAATGAAGTCATCAGATTTGGCAGGGTTATGAAAGATTAATAAAATCTGAAATATTTAATTTGCTTCATTTACATGAAAATTCACTAGTCATTAGTTACTACCAACACGGACAAAAGAGCATCTAAAAAGTACAAGGGCAATGTCAAAAGCTGAAATGGGCACCCTAGCACAGGGGGTATTTTACTTTGCTTTTAACTTGGAAAAGATGATTTTGTAAAAAAAAAAAAAAATGAATTTATCTTCTTAGAACATCAAAATGACCTCTGACAATATTGAGGGTAATTAGCAGTAATAAGGGAATAAGTGCACTGAGCTCTACCTGCCCCAGCAGACTACTGCAGTAAGCCAAGGGAAAGAAAGTGGAAAGTCAAATTAAAGATGCCAAAGTCACAAGAGGGAGAATAATAGACAGTGACATACAATGGAACAGTGAAAACTTACCCCCTGCCCTCAAACCCCAAGCATATTTAGGAAATATGCATTAGGAAGTGAACAAGTAACAATGATTAAACCTTAGTAGAATTACACTAGCTACTTTAAACTGTGGTCTACTTGTGTTGTCATTTCAAAGGAAGTGGGGGGTCTTAGAGACTGAAAGGGTAGCACTGACATGCCCACACAAGCCTTCTAAGGTTCCAACGGACTGGATCACTATAACCAAACAGTTACTTCCACATTCTTCCTACCCTACGTAAGCATTCCTCCCCCCACCCCCCCACCCCCACCTTAACCACCCTCCCTAATGCCTTGTCTGGCTATTTTTCTCAGTGATCAAAAAAAGTTCATGTGACTTGGCCAATGATGCCAGAAAATCAAGATGGAGACAAAAATCAAATGTCACTGGCCAAACCAAGTGCCATTTTTGGGCTTTAAAGTCTACCTGAAGTCCTCCTGGCTCAGAATGAAAATGATGCAAGTGAGCAAAAGTTTGTCAGGCCTGGTTCAGGCCAGACTGGCCACTGAATAAGAGTGGGAATTTTAGGCTGACCCCAAGACAGGCCAGCAGAAATCAAGATGCCAAGTCCTTGGGAGTCAGTGGCTATATACAACCAGGGTTGCTTTTGCTTGTGGCCCTACAAGGTCAAGGGGTTGTTTCTGGGGGTTCCTATATGACTTTGTTCAAGAGAGGCACACACATCATAGTCAGAAATGGAGCCTCAAGTAAAGGATGACAGTCTCTTCAAATGGTACTAGCAGCAAAGATCAGACCCAACTTCCCCAATTTGTCCTCAGGTAAGAAAAAGTTCATCTTCCAGTAATGAACCTTAGCCTTTCTGGCTTCAAAACTGTAGATTTTGGTAGATAAATTAAATTCCAGGAATACGGCCCTTTATGGTTCTTTATTATGACCTTCCAAACCCAAAATGCTGAATCCAAATAAAAATCAAGATTGGAAGTGAGCCACTTATTTCACCCTTGGCCAGGTTAGGAGAAAGCAGAGGGGTGTGAAAGGGAGAAAAGCAAGCCTTTTGGCAAACTGGAATCACCCCTGTTAAAGCAGCAATTTTACTTCTCACAGTGAATGCCTACAAAATAAATTTTCTTAAGGCTGTGAGAGTTAACAATACTGTCACTTGATTGTGTCGAATAGATTCAAGATGCATAGAAATGGCAACTGAAGAAAATACCTTTCCATATAACTCCAAGTACTTCCTATTAGAAAATGGTGTCTATATATTTAATTTAATATTAAAAGGATCCCTCCCTCTTTGGCTCCAGAAAGAAATTTCCAAGCTGTCTAAGTTCAGTACCGAATCCCTCTCTTGCTGGACATAGAAATCCTAACCTTCAAGATTTTTGTGAAAGTCTGAGCAGGCCCAAGAGAAGGTGGGGGGACCAAATTAAAGGAGCAAATTCCAAAGAGGAGGCTTTTGTACACTTTGTTTCTGGTTATATCTTGCTAGGTGTTCACTTTTGTCATCTTGCTTTGGTTTATGTAAGAAGTGTCTGGGCAGGGGGAGAGACATTCTAAGGGCTCCCTCCCCCTACAAGTTGTAGGTTCTCTTAAACTGGGCTAGACTAGGATTAAACAGTCTGAGACTGTTTTCAATCTCTCATGATGCGCTCATTGTAAGTGGGCAGTAAGCAAACAGACTTTTGGTCGTCTGGAAAATAATCGCCAAGGACTTACTGTGGGTTAAGGTGCATGGGGTTTTTCAAAAAGAGAGAGAAATCCTGCTAGTCAGTTGAATTCCTGTAGACATGGTACTTCTTGGGCAAGAGTATCACAAAGCCCAAAAGGAGATGTGTGAGGCTGAAAGCCTCAATTCCTGAATGAAGACACAATGCTAATCTGTTGTAAGCCATGTTCCCATCCCTCATACTTAAGCTGCTGAGGAGGGAAACTGGAAATGCAAGGTTGCCTCAAAAGTATCTCTGGCAGGGAAGAACAGCTTTTTTGTCCTGGGCAGATTCTGGCCTCATCAGGGGCTGGGAACCTTTACAGAGTACCCCCAAAGGCCTGGGCCAGAGTCCTCTGAAGTCTTCCTTGCAAAGCAAATGAAAAGATCCAGTAGTCAAAATGTCAATGAACAAATAAAACAATCTAGGCATGTAAAACCAAATTGTCGATTTCCTCACACTTCCCTACCCCATCTTTCCAATGCTAGTTCTCTCTCCTTCAGGGATTCATGACAATTAATTCTAGCCTGAGGTCGGTTTGACCCAGAAGCTCCAGATGAGATTTCCTCCAAATTAACTGCAAGCCCTGGTAATCACCTCCCATCCCCCTTCTCTCTCTGAACTAGGCTGCTCTAGCAGAAGGAAATGCCCAAATATTCCCCACCCCCTTCCAACCTTCTTGTTCACTATATGGGATGTGAGGACGCCGTTCAAGATTAAACTTGTGACAACCCAACTGTTTGTTGTTCTGAACGGGCAATCTCTGGAAAGTACTTTTTTGTCTGCTTTAGAGAAGCCCATCTTCTCATAACCGATGGGCTGTGACTCAGTAAGGATTTTAAAGTGTGGTCTTTTGAAACCCACCACTCCATAGCAGTGGAAGCATTTCTGGGAAATTCAGCAAATCTTCTGGGACATCACCATGTATGTAGGTACGTGTGCACGCACACACATACACACACACATATATTTATATATATAAAATATGTATAGATAAATAGATCTGTCTCTTTATATAAAGGGTATGTGTATGCATATAGATACACACATTCATATATACATACACCCACACGCCCATACCCAAACACACACACGCACACACACGCACACACCATCTTTTGAGTTCCTTTTCGTACTCAGTTTCATTACATTGATTCCCACCCTTTCAGGGTGTGGGCAGCAGGGAGTGGGTGAACTGCACCACATCTTCTATTTTACAAACAATGCATTAGTTCAGAGGCAGGAAAAATCTGCCCGTACTTTTCTGACTCACTTGAATCCCCCAGTACAAAGGCCATTGGTAGTTTTTTTTTTAAAGTGTATAAAATAAAAAATAAAATAAAATAAAATAAAATAACCAATACTATTTCACTTCCCTGAAAACATTTACCTATCTGATTGTCAGGCCAGAGTTAGAGGCGGTTGTATAAAATCCTGGGTTAGGTGAATGGGGGGAAAGAATGAGAGGAAGGCAGATACTGATTATATACCAAGGTCTCACGAATTCATAGAGAAAAAAGCAAGGTAGGAAGCCACAGACAGCAGTCCCTGCCATCCCACAAGTTTTGTAAAGAGTAACATGATGAAGACTCAGAAAACCAAAGCTGGAGCTTTTCTATAGGGCCTTACATGATGACACCAGATTTCTGACAGACACTGCCTTACTACACTCCCAGGGGAGGCAAAGAGAATACTGGCATTACATATTCTACTTGAGAATAGGACCTAGTCCTGTTGCCATTCATCTTTTACCAGAGCTTCCCCAGAAGCAGACCACGAAGTCTGGAGGTCAGAAAAAGACAGGGAAAGGGAAAAGATGAATACAATAGGATGTCCCAACAAAATCTTGGATAAATCTAGAGTAAGCATTTATGTCTTCCTCTAACTTGGGCCTACAATCAGAAAGGTAAAGGTTTTCCTCTCTTCCTGATCTGCTGAAGCCATCTTCTGCTCATTATTCCTCCTTCTGTTGTGCCACAGTTCCTGGCTTTTGCTCTCGTAAGTGGCTCTTCTCCCCATTCTTCACGGGGAAGTAGCGGTTACCATTAGTACACACGTTGCTGTCTCTGGATAAGGCACACTGTGATGGAGCTGGAAGATGATGATCACTCTTCTCTTCCTTGATCAATGTGCCATTGTTTCCATTTACCTGTGAGTGGGACCGACCCTGATGAGGCTCTAGGGATTTAGAAACTCCATCTGAAGTGCTCTGTCAAAAACAGATATATTCAGTTGAAATGGTAATCCCAGACTGACAGTTCCCAAGCATGTTCGTAAGCTAGCTTGCAGAAGCTGCTTCAGTTCTGCAAAAACATCAGAAAGCCCAAAGCCTGTAAACACCTAGTAAAGTGTGCTCTGATAACTGTCCTGAGAACTTAGGGTGACCACAGATGGATTTGACTGAAACTCAATGGCTGAGACAACAACATAATGACATAGACATCATTTATAAAGCTTTACAATGTATTTTTCTAATACTAGTCAGAACCCTAAATGGTAGATATTATGCACCATTTACAGATGAGGGAGCTGAGGCTCAGAAAGATTAAAGTACATTGCTCAAGGACACTCAGATAGAATGAAGTAGGGGGCGCCTGGGTGGCTCAGTTGGTTAAGTGTCCAACCCTTGATTTGGACTCAGGTCATGATCTCACGGTTCGTGAGATGGACAGCACCACTGTCCAGGGATGATGCTTTAGCTAAAAACAAAGTCAACATGAGAACTTCCTTGGACAGGCTACCTCTGGAGTAGATAACAGTATCCCCAGTAATCTTAGCAATGAGAAACTTATGATCATCCACAATCCCTTCTTTTCCCTTAGTTTCTTCATGTGTAAAAAAAATAATAATAACAGTACCTATTTTTTACATTCCTATAAGGATTCAATGAGACACTCCATGTAAAGCACTTAGAATGTGATGTGCCTGGCACACTGTAAGAACTCAATAAATGCTAGCTAATATTATTGTTTTGATTCCATGTCCCCAAGCAAACTTCTGATATCATGGCTTCCCTTACAGCTTACACTTACATGAAGAAAGCTCTGGTAGAAATGGTTAAGAGCATATGCATTAGAGTCAGCCAGACCTAAGTCTGAGTCTTGTCTCTAACAATTAGAGTTGTTATACTGTAGTAGAATCAGGACAATCAGGACAGGGCAGGATTTTGGAATCATCAGCTCAGGCTGGAATGGCAACTTGGATGTTGACTTGATGGATAATTTTGGGCAAGATGTTTCATCCCTCTGAGCCTCAGTTTCCTCTGTTTAAAATGGAGAATCCTGTGGTTCCTGGGTTGCTCAGCTGGTTAACTGTCCAACTCTTGATATGGGCTCAGGTCATGATATTTGGGGAGAGGGGTATGTCTAATGAACATCAGTGGAAACTGTTATAGTTCACGGTGTACATTAGAGGACAGTTTAAGACCATTTTGAGCCATCAGGAATAAGCAAAATGGCAACAACTCCTTCTTTCTCATATTCACCAAAGGCCAAAGTCCAATTTTCTAAGCATCTCTGGTAGAAAGCCCTCAGAAAACCCTGAGAAGCTGGCAATCCCACTGTTAACTTCACTTTGGCCCCTTTTCTGGCTGCATGTAGCACATACTATGCTAGGTACAGGTGTTCAGGACACAGTACCTGGTTTCTATCCTGTGGCTTCACTCAGGGAGAAAGATGACACTCTGCAGCACTGTGGGAACAGTGTGGGCAGTTAACACTCACTAACTCACAGCTAGAGAGCGAGGGAATGAAATCAAATGCTGGGAGTAGCTAGGAAAACTCACAGTTTTCTGGCCTGATCTGATCATTTGCAAGTTAGCTGAAAAGACAAGATGTATCAAACAGAAGGTAGATAATCTCAGAACGGTGCTTACTTGTTTATTTCCTTTTTTGTGTCCTTTGGATCCTCTACCAGTCTGTTCTTTTCCATGCCTGTAGAAAGTGAGGGGAAAAGTGATCCTGAGGAATATATAAAGCCCACATTTTCACTTAATTAATCACCTCCTCTAGGAAGTTTGACCCTCTTATGGAAAGTTAGTCAATGCCTCTTACCTTAATGGAAGTATTCAATAGGTGGATATTTTCCCAATAGCACCTTGATTAACACTAGCTCATACCAACCTATTGGAATACATACCCTTTTCCTGGCCCACCAACCGAGACCACTTGCATGCCAAAAGAGCCTCGGCCCCTGGAGGACCTGCTGCCAGCCCACTGGCCCACAACCATCCCAGCAATCTCCAGTTTTCCTCCTTGAGGAGGGATTGGATGGAGACCTGGAGAGATAGGAAGAAGGAAGTAATGAATGCTAAGTGCAAGGTAGGATAAGAAGTGGAAACAAAGATCCTACAGCCCACCTACTCTGCTTATTTCCATTTCTCTATGATAAACACTCTGTCATAACAACAAAGGTTCATGGTGGAAACAAATTTAGGGACAGGGGGTTGAAGCTCTGTACACATCCACTTTATTTTTTTAAATGTTTGTTTGTTTATAGAGCAAGTGCGTGCACAAATGGGGAAGGGACAGAGAGAGAGGGAGAGACAGAATCCCAAGCAGGCTCTGCACTGTCAGCGCAGAGTCCAATGCAGGGCTTGAGCTCATGAACTGTGAGATCATGGCCTGAGCCGAAATCAAGAGTAGGATGTTTAACAGGTTGAGCCACCCAGGTGCCCTGTGTATACATCTACTTTAGCAAGTGGGGTATGGACAATTCATTTTTTTGCTACAGGGCCTGGCACATAGTAGCTATTCAATAGTTGCTGAAAGAATGAATGTCCTAAAATCTAGTTATTAGAAAATTATAAGCCAAATGCCACTTCTATTTTCCTTTCTTTTTTCTTTGCATTAAAGTTTAGTTGACACATAATGTTACATTAGTTTCAGGTGTACAACCTAGTGCTTCGACAACTCTGTAGTTATGCTGTGCTCACCACAGTACAGCTACCATCTGTCACCATTCAATGCTATTACAATACCATTGACCTTATTCCCTATGCCGTGCCTTTCATTCCTGTGACTTACTCATTCCATAACTCATTCCACTCTCCTTCACCCATTTTGCCCATCCCCTCAACGTTCCTCCCCTAAGGCAACCATAAGTTCCTTCTCTGTTTATGGGTCTGGATTCTGCTTTTTGTTTATTCATTTGGACCAAAACCACTTTTCTTTTTCTTTTTAAGCTTTTATTCAAATTTCAGTTAGTTAATATTAAAGTGGGCCTAAACCATTTTTGATTCAAATATGTATCACTACACAATGGAGGATCAGCCAAACCAGCAAACTGAACTGAAAATAATGAAACTAAACTGAAAGTAATCTATAATTAATAAGCAAGAATAGCAACAGTTGAAAACCAGAACCAATTCAAGACAAGATAGCATATCTCTTTAAAACAGGAAATTCCAACTCAGTCTGTATGAGCTCACAAGCACAGTAGAGCTTTGTAATTTGGCATAAAAGGAAGCCTTCATAGAATCCACAGTTCTAGTAAACCTTTAATTTTAGTTTATGGAAAAAAAGCAAATGTTAATAACCCTTTACTCATTTAGCCAGTTGTCAGTAAAGAGCCCTTCATTCATATAACAGTGTCTAAGGTACCAGGGTACTAGCCAGTTCTAAGAGGGCTAGAAAGACTTGCCTTTGGGGATCTTACTGTGGCCTTTGAGGAGGCAGAAGGCTCTTCATGAACCACCAGTAACTGGAGACTAGGCATCACTGGGAGCTGGGACAATGGCAAGGATCTCCTGAGAACTTAGCCTTAATTAAAGCTGTCTTCTGAGACACAATAAAATCAACATGCAAAGAATGGGAACAAAGATCTGTAAAGTCAGCTTCAAGGAATGGACTGAATGGCTGGCTCCCTGGTTTGTAAAACTTGATCATTACCTGACTGAACAGAGCAAACATCCACATTGCTCGTCCCAGTAGAGCCTTGAACTAAATATGCATACTGAATTTTATGACCCTAGATAAACTTCCAGCTTTATTTTTTTTAAGTAGGTTTCACGCCCAGGGTGGAGCCCAACACAGGGCTTGGACTCACGACCCTGAGATCAAGACCTGAGCTAAGAATCAGACACTTAACAGATTGAGCCCCCCAAGAACCTCCCCAGCTTTATTATTTTTAAAATGATGAACAGTGGACAACAAATACCTTGAACCATAGCAATGACATTCCCACCTGATCACAGAACCTTGATACTTCATGTCAAAATGTCCCTATTAAAAAATCCTGTTTCACCTAGGTTGTTTGAGTTATTAGGATCAGTATCTTTGTTTCAGGCACAGTATTGGGCCTGATATATATGAAACTGCTGATTCTGTGACTGGTACTAACTACCAGATGGGTTATTATGAAATAGATTGAGGATGACAAATACATCACTCATAGGTACTGACCTGTGAATCCCCGGCTCCTTCCTTGAGGGGGAGGTGGCATTGAGCCCATGGCTCGGGAATAAAGTGAAACAGGGTAGAGAGGGGGCACCATGGGAGGCACAAAAGTAGGTGACGGAAGTAGAGCGGAAGGTGGTGGATGGTTCATGTTGACTCCTTCAAGGATACTCTGTCTCATCTTTTCCACTTTGGTTGCCAGATCAGCCTTCAAATGAAGAACAGAATTAATAACAGCAGCTGCCATTTTTTTTAACGTCTTTGTTTCAGGCACAGTATTGGGCACTCTAGGGACAGTCTCACAAATCTATTCCCATTAAGAGAACTGAGGCCTGGAGTTAAATGGCTCAAGGAGTCATACTCAGGGAAACCTGTCTGGCACCAAAGACCCACTTTTTGCATGACACCAAACAACCACACTAGCTCTGACCGAGGCCTTGTGAGGCACGTTGACTAGGTCAAGGGAGACAAATATAACAATAAGTATTTACTGATGGTCTGTCACACGACCAGAAATAGGTTATTTTTTAAGGTGGATAGAACAGAGTTAGGTGAAAGAATAAAACCTGACATGCACAAAGTTTTTTAACCTTCTCCCCCATACCCAAGATCAGAGACCATGACCTCTGTCCAGGAGAAGCCCATGCCTCTAGTCCAGAGATCAGCAAACCTGTTCTGAAAAGGGCCAGATAGGATTTGTAGGCCATATGGTCTCTGTCACAACTATACAACTCTGCTGTTGTGGTGGGAAAGCAGTCATAAGCAATATGTAAATGAATGGATGTGGCTGTGTTCCAATAAAACCTTATTGGAATAAAAATTTCAAGGTTTTCAGTTTTGAGGTATTTTGCCACCCCTGCTCTAGTCCCTCAGCTCATTCCCCCCAAGTGGATAAAGGAGTAAGTAAGGGTTCCTTTCCCTGTCTTTCCTAAGGTTTCATTGTAAAGAATCCCCTGCTTCTACTCTGTCATCTATTTTACTATTCTCTTCTAGTTCTAAACATAGTTCCTTTACAAAGGTTATCATCATTTGCAGAAGTGACTTACAGTTTTTGCAAATAAGGGAAATGAAATCCTAAGAATTGCAGGAAAGCCCTATTCCATGGGAAGGAAATACTCAGATAAGAAAACAATAGGAAAATTTGGTGTTCATAAAAAACACTTTCCAACGTATGGTTTTATAACATGGACATATCAGACTCTGGGCCTTTGGGATTATCCTTGACCCAGTTAGGTTAATGTCACACATTCCCCTACTTCTGCTACCTCCCTCTCCAATGTCTCTGTTCCTTTCCACCCTCTGCCCATTCATCCCCACAGTGGATCAGAGATGGCTCTTAGCAGCTGCCTGACATAAAGGTACCTGGCCATCACAGAGCTCAACCAGGGATACTCGCTCTCGGCCTGCTTTAATCAACTTGCTCTGGAACAGCTTGCCATCAAAGTAAATCCAGGGGCAGCAGTGCTCCCACGGGACTGGCTGGCCACAGGCATCATTGGCAAACAGAGCTGTGTCGACCCCACTCATGAAGAGGGCAGCAAGCTGGATCCCTCGGGCATCCAGTTTCTCAATCTGAAACCACCACAGAGGAAGAACTACTATTAAAAACTGTTACTGGTTACATCTACTCTTGTTCCTGTTATTCTGATTATTCAAATTAAACTTGAGCGTGTTGCCTCTTAATATAGACATTTGAGTGCACAAGCAGCTTCTATCCATGTCACTCCCTGACACAGTTTGAAAGATACTCATTACAAAAAAAAAAGACATCAGCTTTAAAACTTCAAAAAGGCACCAACCATTTTGTTTTTACCTGTAAAGTTAGAAAAAATTTAAAAATCCAAAGAGAAAAAGAACACCCAGTGCTGATAAGGATGAAATAAATGGGCACATTCATATAAAGCTGATGAAAAATGTACATTACAATTAAGCAGTATGTGAATAACCCTGAAAAATATTCACATTTCTTGACTCAGTAATCCTACTTTCATGAATCTATTCTAAGGAAGTAGAGCTATGAATAAAACTCTATGCATAAAGATTTTAATTGTAATGTTACATCTAATAGGGGAAAACTAGAAACCAAATGGCCAACATTATAATAATTAGCTGATACATGCATATAATAAATTTCTTAAACTTTTTTAAGACATAGAAAATATGTGCTATGTTAAGTTTAAAAACACAATATGTAATCACATACACAATACCTCAACTGTGTAGAAAATGTTTATATTTATTATCTCAAGTTGGCATGGTAGATGGCTTCAACAGGAAAAGGAGAAATATTTGCAAGTCCCCTCCTACATGTGATCTGGAGACAGTAACTGCCCTAGGGCCAAGCAATATTATACTTACTGTAAGGAGGAACCAACACTGTTTTTCTTAGACTGTTTTTGTCTTTCCCTTAGTTAACCTCACTTAAAGGAAGATTCTGTTAGCTTTATTGGGCTAGATCTTTTCCACGTTTATCCTAGGGCCTCAAAAAACCATGGCCACTGAAGTCAGGAGAGGTGTGTTCTGCATTAATAGCTAGTATTATTGGATTCTGTGTACTTAAGATATGCAAGACACTGTTCTAGGTGTTTTGCATGGATTATTTACTTTATTTAATATCCCTACAAGTAAGGAAACTGAAGCAAGAGAGGTTAAGCAACCTGCCTCAGATCACACAGCTAGGATGCAATGAAGCCGAGATTCAAACCCAAGGCAGACTGGCTTCAGAGCCTACCTTTTAAACTACTGTGTTCTGGGGCCCCTGGGTGGCTCAGTTGGATAAACGTCCGACTTCGGCTCAGGTCATGATCTCACAGTTTGTGGTTCGAGCCCCGTGTCGGGCTCTGTGCTGATAGCTCAGAGCCTGGAGCCTGCTTCGGAATCTGTGTCTCCCTCTCTCTCTGCCCCTCCCCTGCTCGAGCTCTGTCTCTGTCTCAAAAATAAATAAACTTGAAAAAAAAATAAGCTACTATGTTCTACTGCGTTCAGTTAGATGGTGGATTTGCTTTCTTCCTTATGTTCTTCTAGACTTCTCTCTAACATCCAATAAATATTACTAAAAAGGCAGGCATTTACTCAGAGACAAACTCAGGACACAAGGAAGAATCCCCTGTAGTGTATCTTGCAAGAGTCAGAAACCTTACCATAGTTTGTGGCCACAACTTATTTGTAATGTATAATATCCATCTTTTCTGTCCATTCTCACCTATCAGTATGGGAGCAGTGGTGCAGGTACCTCTTGGTTTTATTAATAAACATACATGATTGGCTAAAGTAAATCAAACATTTGTCTGTAGAACTTACTCTTCTCCTCAGCACCAGGGGAAAAAAAAAGACCAAAAGGAAAGCATTGAGCTCATAAAAGAAAGATTTTAAGTTAGGTTAAATCAAATCACCTTGAGTTCTTGAAGTTGATCTGGCTCATAAAGCTGGGTAGATACTGCCTGTGCAAGGAAAGTGTCTAGCTCATGGCGATGCAGGATTCGGCCACCAGGCCACTGAACCATGTATCTAGAAAATAAAAACATAATTATTAAGGTAAAAAAGCTCATTTATTCCTTTCACAAACACTTATTAAGCTAAGAACCTATCACGGGCCAGGTTTTGACAATTTCAGTAGAATAAAGTTAAAGCATCTTCGCCTTTGGTTATTGCAGTCTAGGTGGTAGAGGAGACAGGCATGTGCCTCAACAATGACAGGAGAGTGTGATAAGTACCAAGATAGAAGAATGTACAGGGTGCTACAAGAGCACAGGAAAGGGCTAGGCTAAAGGAGTGAGGGAGGGTATCCTGAAAAAATAGCAGGAGGTGGGTTTCAAAGGGCCTGTAGAAATTAGTAAAAAAAAAAAAAAAAAAAAGCGGGGAAGGATGTTCTAGTTGAGGGAACAGTATACGTGAAGGCATAGAGGTGTGGAGTTCAGTATGATATAGTAGGTTCCATAACTCAAAAAGATATCTGCACCCCCATGTTCACTACAGCAGCATTTACAATAGTTAAGACATGGAAACTACCTAAGTGTCCACTGATGGATGAGTGGATAAAGCAGTTGTGGTATATATACAAATACAACGAATATTATTCAACCATAAAAAATGAGGAAGTCCTATCATTTGCAGTAATATGGAGGAACGTGGAGACATCATGCTAAGTGAAATAAGTCGGACAGAGAAAGACAAATACTGCGTGATCTCACTTATAAGTAGAATCTTAAAAAAAACAACTCATAGAAAAAGAGATCAGAGTTGTAGTTACCAGAGGTGGGAGGGTGGCAGAAGGGGAGGGGGAATTGGAGGAAGGTAGTCAAAAGGTATAAACTTCCAGTTATAAGATAAATGAGTACTGGAGATAATGTACATGACTGTAGTTAGCACTGCTATGTGGTCTATAGAAAAGTTAAGAGAGTAGATTCTAAGAATTCTCATCATAAGGAGAAAGTTTTTCTTTTTCTTTATACCTGTATGAAATGATGGATGTTAACTAAACATTGTGGCAATCATTTCACAATACATGTAAATGAAACCATCATGCTGTATGCCTTAAACTTATACAGTGATGTATATCAATTTTTCTCAATAAAACTAAAAAAAAAGGTCAGATTATTAAGTGTCTCAAAAACAGTATTAAGGAATTTGGACTTTCATTCTGAAAATATAAGAAGATACTTAGGGATTATCAGCAGGACAGTGATATTGACTGGCTCATAGGGTAAGAGAGAAGAGGCATGTATGCCAGTTGGGAGGCAACTGCAGCAATCTGTGCCTGAAGAGGTATGAACAAAGGCACTGGCTCAGGGGTTGGAGAGGGCCAGGGGACAAAGACAAGAGCTACTGAGTAGATATATCCATAGGATTTGGTCATGCATGTTATGGGAAGGGGGTAAAGAAAAAGGAAGAGCCTAAGATTCCTAGAATTCTGACTTGAGCAGATGGCTAGATGATAGGGCCATTCCTCAAGATAAGAAATCCATTAATTAAAATAAATAAGTACTCATTGATGAGTATTTGACTTGAATTTCATGAACTGAGTATGTCTTACCATTCTAGGCACCAAGATGCAGAAAGAGGAAGAAAGATGAAAAAAATACATCAGTACAAAGTCTATGTCCTTAGCTCCCTGAAAGACCCACAAGACAATGATCATTCATAATTATTGGAGCTGTGTGAGACTTCAGAAAGCTAGCCCTTAAAGCAAGGGATGGTCTTTTCTGAGTGGCACGTGGAATGAATCTGTAGGGACTCTGATCCAGTTACTACTACCAGGAGGCTGTATGATGCCCTGGAAAGAACCTGGCTTTGAATCTCTAACCCGCTGTTTCCTCACCTGGAAAGATCACAATAGCACAGGCAGCCCTACTGCCATTACTCTTTCTTCAAGCCCAGCTGTCATTTCTCTCAACTCCAGGATGTTTCTGGGCCTGCAGAACATGCCAACAAGCCCTGTTGCTTCTTTACAAACTAAGTTCTAGGGGTGCCTGGGTGGCTCAGGTCGTGATCTCAGGCTCATGAGTTCAAGCCCCACATTGGGCTCTCTGCTGTCTGTGGGCAGAGCCCGCTTCAGATCATCTGTCCCGCACCGACCACCCCCCCTTTCGCCTCTTGTGTGCATGTGCACTCTCTCCCTCAAAAAACAAAAACAAAAACAAAAACAAAAAACACTTAAAACAAACAAACAAACAAACAAACAAACAAACAAACAAACAAAGTTCTAAATGACTGACCTTTCCAGGAGGTATCTTTCTGGGCCACACAGAAAGAACAGTTTATACCCTCCTCCCTGCCCACACATTCTCCATGTGGAAAATTTATTCATACTTTATAATCTATTTTATACTTTTTGATGCTGTATTATAAAGTGCACAATTCAGAGTTTATATCTTCTATCCATATAAAATATTTTCCTTTGCCCTCAATGTTTTTTTGCCTTGGGGACTATATTATTTATTAATAATGCTTCTTTCTTGTGATTTATACTTCCTTGATTGATTTACCTTTGCCCATTCTTTTATTTTTAATCTTTCCATCTTATTTTGTTGGCAAAATATGAAGCAAAAATAGACAAAAATGAACTGAAATGCAATTATAGTAGAAGAATTTAGCATACTACCATTAAGCTATGACATGTAAAATGTGCCTTAGATACATTTAAAATCACAGAAGATTTGAAAAATACAATAAATAAGGTTCAAATGCTTGACTGAAAACATATTCAAGAACCCATGTGAGTTCCAATGAGATCTAGGACCTTGTTTGGCCTCATCTATTGTCTTGTTTCTTATTAATATTTATTATAAACTATCTAGCATAGTACATGGCCTAGAGTACATATCAGTAAATATTTATTAGGGGACTGACTGAATGCATCAACCAGGTCATGGAAAAAATCCCCCAAACCAAGAAAAAAACTCAACAAAAATCTTCCAAAGCTGAATTGTACCAGTCACATCCTGATTACTATGAGAGAAAAACTGACTTAAAGGAGCTCCTAAAGGAGTCAAGTGTGGAAGACAGGCAGGATCACTGAAAGACTAATAAAATGAGAAGGATGTGACTTTACAAGTTGAATAGGTTGTTTTGGGTGCTCTAAGGAAACAGTGACTAAATTCACCTGGGAGACTCAGAGAAGGCCTCACAGAGGGGAGAACATTTAATTTCCTAGGGATGTGAGATTTTTGGTTGGTTTGGATTATACTCATTAATGTTAACTTGCAATTTTTCATGTTTCTCTAACCTTAGTGTGATGCATGGCAGAATGGATGCTCAAAAAATGTTTGCTGAACAAATGAGGCTATGGCAGGATATTCCAAAGGAAATGCTAGCTCCATCTTTTGGCCAACACTGTTATTCAACCAGCCTCGAATGAATTACGTGAAAGAGAGGACAGTGTCCAAAGAGTCAGAGGCTCATTAATGAGATAGCAGGAAATAGTAATTATTAAATCAACCAATATTTAGTAATGCTCATCATGTGTTATTTTTTAAATTATATGATTCCATTGGGGATTAATTTTGTACAACCATAGGAGTACTAATTTCCCATGGAAGTTCCTCAGTCTCAATTACAAGACAGCTTTATTACTATTAGTAGTATTTACATTATTATATATACTACACACAAGCATTATATATATATACATATATACATATATATATGTATATATTACATACATAATATATATATATATATTACAGTATATGCAGCAAACTATAAGTTACTCATAGGAACAACATTTACTAAATGCCTCTTGTATGCTAGACACCCTGACATAAACTTTATATACATAGAACACGGTAGCAAAGAATACAGACTTGGGAGCCTGACATACTGGGTTCCAATCTAGGTCCTACTACTTCTTTTCTTTTTTTTTTTTTTTTT